GATCTTGTCTCACTTGCTTTCTAGAATTGCTGCTTTTAGCATGTCAGCAGTTTCCTTGCAGCCTGGAGCTGGGTGTACTCCATGCGCATTGTTGTTGGGAGTATGTTGTGCAATGGAACAAATACCCAGAGGTAATGGGACATTTTCATTTCTTATATCTCCCCCTTCCTATGTTGTCTGTGTAGTTGTGGAGGTCCAGGTGAATACTAAGAACATAAAGTGAAGCCAATGTTGGATCAGGCCAATGGCCCATCTAGTCCAACACTCTGTCACACAGTGGCCAAAAATACCAGGTGGCATCAGGAGGTCCACCAGTGGGGCCAGGACACTAGAAGCCCTCCCACTGCCCCCCCCCCAAGCACCAAGAACACAGAGCATCCCTTGCCCCAGACTGAGAGTTCCTATCTATACCTTGTGGCTAATAGCCACTTATGGATCTCTGCTCCATATGTTTATCCAGCTCCCTCTTGAAGCTGTCCACGCTTGTAGCCACCGCCACCTCCTGTGGCAGTGAATCCCATACTGTGAAACAATGTTGATTTCAGATTAGAGATGGAGAATTTAGGAAGAAAAAGCTTTTTTTATCGATTACATTTTTGAACATTATTTTACTGCAGATGTCATTTTCTAGCCTTTCAGTCTGGCATCTACCTTTATTTCTGTTGCAAACAGCAGGATGAAATTGCATTTGTATGTATACAATAGAGGCACTGTGATTTTTGTCAGAATAGCTGACAGCATACATACTGCCAAGACTCTCTCCCCCATTACCCTACAGCAGGGGTCACCAACATTTCTGAACACCTTTGGAATTTTGAGGGGGTGTGTGTCATCCCAAAGTGTATGTTGCAGGAGGCAGAACTGGCTACAAGTTGGCACAGGAGGTGAAGCCAACCACGTCCCCACACACATGAGCAGGAAAGAGGGGACTGGGAATGTAAAACAGAAGAATCTGTGAGGGAGGGGGGGATAAAGCACAAAAAAACCCCAAAGAAGCCCAAGAGGAGGTGTAAAGGAGGGATAAAACATGCACACACGAAGCTAAAGGGGGAATAATATAAACATGGATGTGTGCACAACCCAAGGGGGTGGAGGGGAAATAAGAAACACATAGGCCAACCAAGGGGAGAAATGATTTACCCATTGCTAGGCATTCATTTCCTTTCTCGCTTGCTTGCTTGCCGCCGCCCCCCCCCCCCCCACACTCGTCCCTCGTCGGGGGGGAGAGCAAAAAACGTTTCTCCTCAAAGTCGGGAGTGGAGAAGTATTTAATAATTTGCTTTGGGGCAGCAGTTTTTAGCATGTTTCTCTTATTGCACGGACTGATCTTAACGCTTTCTCCTTAATCCTTTTATACAAGGAAGCACACTTTCTCACCAGGTCTATAGATCATCTCAGATGCATTGAGAATGCTCATGTTCAGCACGGTGAGTATAAAGCGCCTGTGCAGGAGAACGTTGCCTTTCCGTTAATGTCAACCTGCCATCTATGTGGGGATTTTTTTTAGTAACGGCCAACCCACACTGACATCATCTGAAAACAGACTCCGCTTCGAAGAGGAATGGACCTGAAGTCTAAACCTCAGGGGGAAAAACTGGCTTAACAAAAGTTTCTTGTCCAGGGTCTCTTTAGAGACTGTTGTGTGCCTCAGATTCTACCATGAATGAGCTTGGAAGCAGACCCTGGGGTTTGCTTGTTTCTTTCCTGCTCCCATTCTCGTCACTGCCATTAGAAAGTAGCCCCCCACCACCAAACCAAAACCTCCTGGGACGATCCTGCACGTCATCCTGGCCTGGGAAATCAGTGGGAGAGATAGAAGTTACACTCCTGAGGCCTTCTCCTGATTTCACCCTGATATAGCAAAACAGTATCTAAACCAGTCCTTGTGAACTCTTTCTGGTTCTCAGCTATTATCAAAAATCCTGGTTCGTGCGTGTGAAGCCACATAGATAAGTTATGCCGCTAAAAATATCTTTAAAAAAAAAATATATTTTAACAAGTTGACCCATTTTTCAGAGATGAGTAATAAAAACTCATTTTTTTGACATCCCAGGCTACTTGACCTTTTAAAGTCATGTTCTTGTTTCAGGAATTGCTCTAATGATGTGGAACACATTCATAGTGAAAAGGCTCTCTGCTGCTACCTACCTAATGGATAAGGTAAATGTTAGAATTTCCCATTTATTTTTGTCAGGTGGAGAAAAGATTGAGGCCTGGCATTTTTAAATTGACATTTTGAGCTAGGAGTGTCACCCTGTAGAGGAAATCTTAAAAGTCAAGCTGCAGGTGATCCAGGAGATCCATGCTTAGAATGCCTTTGTGTTTCTGTTTTTACTTGGTGTGGGGCTCTGAATTTGACTGGAGCAGTATCCTTTTCTCCTGTGCTGTTTCCCCTCTATAAGTTACAGCTGTTGTTAGAACCATAGTAAAAGAGAGCTGCCCTCCTTCAGCACCATTACTGCAAACAAATTGGGACCTCCCCCTGCAGGTGCCTGACTTAAAGTAAAAATAAAAAGAATAGATCTGATCCCAGATTTCTTGTGTCACATGTAGTAGTTTTGATTGATTCAGTCTTTATAAGCTTGCATGTGAATAAACTGTTGTGAAAAAAGTGTGCAAGAGAGTGTGCCCCTTCACCTGGGTAAGCACTGAACAATGGCAAGGGGCACTGGCTGGTCTCACCCTGGCGCTTTGGCTGGGATTGATACTTGTACTTCCAGTATCTTCAAGTCGTACCCTTTTGGGGGTGCTCTTATAAGTCACTGGCCTGGTGTAGTGGATCTAATCAATGAACTGCCATTGTTTGTGTTATGGAGCAGTGCTTAGCCTTGGGAAGGGGAAAAAGCTTTCAGGATTAACCTGATGGAATATTTCCTCTCATTCATCTATTTTGTGGGAAATGAGTGCTCACAGGGTTCGTGTGGATAAGAGAGAAACTAGTCGTTGATGGGAGCACAGGAAGGCACTGAGTTCATTAACTTTTACTAAATGGATTATTAGACTTAACAAGAGAAAAATTTCTGTAATAGGTTGGGAAAGCACCGAAGGACAGATTGTGCAGAAGGGCAAGTAATTTTTTTAATTCTTTATTGAAGAAATGTATGACTGATCTGATGATAACCTGAGATGAGAGACTTGGAGTGAGATCTTAGTCCTGGAAGGGAGGCCTGAGGTGTTTTCGCTGCGTTCAGGGCAAGAGAACCCTTCCAGTTCATATCTAGTTCTTATACACCGTTTTGCCCGTTTACAATCCCACCACATGTCTCAAAGCTTCAGTCAACATCATCCGAAGTTGTAGTGCATCCTCTTTAGCCTGGCCAGTGATAAGCACCGTTGATTAACCTGGCCCTCCAAGCCAAATTTAACCACCAGTTTGAAGGGGGGAGGGGAATGCTGGCCTAAGGCACAGATTTCCTTGTTTCTAGAGTTTCATCTCTTAAGAACATTGCGGAATGAGGGATATATTTAACTGATGTTTCGGAATATTTTAGGAGTTTTCCCAGTTACTGGGTTCTCATTGTTCAGGAGTATATTTTGGCATCGAACCTAACAGCTCTTGCTACAAAAATGTTTTTAAAATGTGTTCAGGAGAAATCACTCTGCACAGGCTAACAGCTCTTTCTCAAGCAGGACATCGGGATGAGTGACGCTGCCGTGACGTCTCTCCTTGGCTGTTGCTCAGATCTTCTTCAGACACTCCTGGAGGTACTACTGCACGCTCCTCTACTTATTCAGAATTTCTCCTGATGATATACTTGGGCAGTTTGCACTGTAAACTTCTCCCTTTGGGAAGAAAGTTTCATAAGGGAGTATCAATGAATTTTTTTACTAAAAAGATAGCTTTCAGAGAATTTATTTTCATTTCATTCGGAGCATTTAATATTTTTGCAGGCTAGGTTTTTTTTTTAGTCCTGGTTTAGCATTTTTTAACGATTAAAAATGGAGTCTCTCTGCAAATTAAATGTGTTTCCATTAAAGCCCTGCTTTACTTGGTCACCCCAGGCTGATGTACGGAGTGATGAAATGCCGCTTCCTGTGCTGGACACAGAAGATGCTTGGGCGTCTGTTGAAGGCCAGATTTCACTGGTGGAATTAGCCTTGGAGCAGAAACACATCCATTACCCTCTTGTGGAGCACCAGTCTGTGCTCTGCACAGTCCTGTATGGGATCATGAAGTTTTCACTCAAGAATGTGAAGCCCCTCTCTCTTTTTGATAGTAAGGTATGCTTGTAGAAGACTTGTTATAAGCAATAACTTAGTCCTGTCTTGCCTTCTGACAAATACCTAAGCTAATAAACTACAGACATTTAGTACATGGATGGGTTGTTGAAGACACAAGTTTGAATCCAAGCCACCACCTATACAGAAGGAGGTTTGTGAAACTGTTCTGATTTGTATCAGTCCCCTGTGCCTTCTGAAAAGCTATTCCTGAGGCCCCCATTTCCCTTCAGAGCAGCATCTGATACGGTGCAAGGAGCATAAGCTAGAAGATCAACAACTGTGCTGTATGCTTGGAAGCCCTGTGGATGGCACTTGTGGCATTCTCCACAGCTGTCTGGGCTGCTTCCCATCTCAGAGAGCTCCTTTCAATTTGCACGTAACTTACATGTGACAATTATATGTGGTTTGCTCCATGCATGTGTGCTGGCACGATGCAGCTGACCACATCTTCCACGCATGTCTTTATTTAAATATACGTGTACAAAGCTTATGGTACTCTCCCCTTTCTTGGCCTCAGACACCTGCAATTATATAAAACATGTGCATGGAAGATGTGGCCAGTTGCATCCTACCAGCACGCATAAAGTTTGAACGCCAGTCCTGAGATTAGAAATGCCTACAGAGGGAAAACCAAATCTTTCCAGTGTTTATCCTGCCATCTTTATCACTGAAATGGATATTGTCTGTTCTGTTCTTGTTCTTCGTGTAGGTCAAAAATGCCTTTTTCAAAGACCTCACTTCAATTCAGTTGCTGCCTAGTGGTGATGTAGATCCAGCTCTGTTATCTGCACGACATCAAGTAAGTTGAATCCTCTTGGGAAACCGATAACACTGTGTTGGTAAAACTGAATGGCTGCTGACAGGCTCATCTCGTTTTCCTTACCAGTTCTTAACCAAACTGCTGACTGCGGTGGTGCAAGCCCAGTCTTCATCCCAGAAAAACAAAGGCAGCCCAGAAGAGTCAGTAGTCCTGTCAGTGAAAGACAGAGATTGGCCAGCTCTGACTGTGGATTTGGCTCAGCATCTTCAGGTCAACGAGGACGTGGTTAGGCGGCACTATGTGTGTGAGCTTTATAACTATGGCTTGGATCATCTTGGGGAAGAGGTAAACAGATCGCAGGGTGGTGTGGTAATGGCCTCAGTTTTTCTAGAGCAGCAACAGACTTGCAGCTAGAGGGGGCAGATGAATACACTGTATGCCCTTCATCAGCTCAAATTATTTTTAGGACACAGCCAAACTTGAGCTGAATTTTTTTTAAAGGGGGGAAAGTAGAGCTCTTCTCTTTCGGAGTTGGAAACATAGGCCAGTTCCTCTAGGCTTCACAGTGCAGTGGAGTAATTTTGCTTCAAGGGAGGAATCACTCCCTTCAATGTTGCTCTTGTTGGTTGGGCAGGCCGGCGCAGTGGCTGCTCCTCTTCTGTCTCTCTGGCATGAACAGATCTCAGTGGATCCAGAGTGTGTTGACACAGTTCCACTCCAAGGATCAGGCTTTGGAATGTGTTCTGTGTAGTGTCCTATTCAAAGCCAACTATCACGTGCCCCAGGCATCTGCCTGGTCTGAAGTTCATTCAACATCACTTTTTTTTGGAGGGGGGGGCTTCTGTTTTAAGCAAGCAGCTTGGGAAGCGAGCTTAGGCAAGGTTTCGTCTCTGGGTTAAAACAAGCTTTGACCGGGGGGTTCTGCTGCCTTGTAATACTCAGGCTATTCTTCAAGTACATGACAAAGAAGTCCTTGCGTCTCAGCTGCTGGTGCTGACAGGCCAGAGACTGGCCTACGCCTTACTGCATACTCAGACTAAGGAAGGCATGGAGCTGCTTGCCAGGCTGCCTCCAACACTCTGCACGTGGCTTAAAGCTATGGTGAGTTCCTTTGACTGGGCACAAATCAGGTTCCTGGACTGAGCATTTGTTACTTACAGAGTCACACAGTCGGCACCATGCAGTGCCGTTCACATTTCCAGAAAAGCATGTTACATCTGGAAATGTTGTTTCTGTAGCAAAACTCACTTTGCTCTTAGCTGTATAGAAGGCAGTATCCACTCATCCAAATGGAATAAAGATACAGGCACCAAAAAAACCACTCCAGAAATCTGGACTACTTTGTGTAAAGGGACTACTGTTCTTTAGCCAGCAAATGCCACACTACATTGGTGCAGGTCTGAGTACATGAGAATCTCTTGCATGCATCAAGAAAGCACATTTTCCTAGTATTTGTTGGGAGGAGTACTGAGAAATAAGCCATGTCTTCAGGAATCCTTTCGTTTTCTCTCTTTGCTGCCCCCCAGCCATTGGATCTCCAACCTGAGTTCAGTTGGTCTCTGTGTATCATTTGGCGCAAGGGGGTCCCCAATGTGGTGCCCTTGAGTGCCATGATGGCACCCTCCAACACCTTTTCTGGTGCCCGTGAAGTGTTTGTAGACAGCGGGTGGGGCTTTCGCCCAGCAAGGCTTCTGATTGGCCACTGGAGATTTGGTTGGGTGTGCAGATTTTTTTTTAAAAAAATATTGCTTTCGATGCAGCGGCCCTCACACCACAAGCATCTTCACTGTGTGACTGAAGGTAAGCTGTGGCAGCCATATTATGGCTGGCTCTGCCTCCTGTGGCAACAGGCACCGTCCTGTGTCAGAATTCCAAAGGTGCCCACAGGCTCAAAAAGGTTGGGGACCCCGGTCTGGAGGATGTGAAACAATATTCCACCAAGATATAGACGCAAATATTTTAAGTTGCTTAGCAAATACAAATTTGAAAATGGCTTATAGAAGAGAATGCCTGAAGGCTGTGCCTTTCCTTCTTCTGCAGGACCCCCAGGATCTTAAGAATGTAGAAGTGCCAATCGCTACAACTGCAAAGCTTGTTGACAAAGTGATAGAACACTTACCCGAAAACCATGGGCAGTACAGCGTTGCATTGAATCTAATTGAGGCAGTGGAAGCTATGTCATGATGACAATGGTACCAGTTTCATTGATTGTTTTAAAGTTAAACACATGGGTCTTTTACATACAGAAGCAGAAATGTCCAGAAGGGAAAAAGTCAAAGTTATTTTTATGAACTAACACAAGTTTTCAGCTTTAGGAGGTGGTACCGATGAGATGCTCTGTCTTTCTGAGAGGGCAGTCTGTCTCTTGTATATTTGTCTATACACTTAAATATTTATTTCTAATGCAGTCACTTGTGCAATAGTTTAGGTTTGAGAGCAGCTTTCTTGCTGCTGCAATTAACTTGTTAGAATGTTTCATATGCTAAAGGTATGAAATTAGGTGTTGCTTAAGACAGGTTAATCAGAAGCCAACACAACCCCAGCATTTTATGTATGTTGCTTAGAAAAGCCTCTGGTTTAACAAGGGAAATGGCGTGGCAAGGAGCCTACCCCACACAGCATCATGTTAAGATCTAACTGGATGATTTGAAATGGCTGCTGGGTAGGCCTCTGTGTTAAACATTAATGTAGATACTGAACCGTGCTGCCTTTGATGGAACAACAATCAGGAATCTAATGATCAAGTTCTACATAAACATGTGTCTTTTGTAACTCCCCCCCATTGCTGTATAGCTTACTGTAAAAATATTGTAAATTGTGTCCACTAGACATCCTGTGCTGAAATTTCTGCTTCCCTTACAGCTGTTCAAATATTAAAATTGTCAGGATTGTTAATCTCATTTGCTGTGTTAATCTGTACCTTGGAAGGCTAAAAAAGTCACAGTTGATGCCTGAAAGCTCTGAATATTTGTGGAGGGTAGCACTGTAGAAGCTATGATGCTCTTCAAATGAAGCTAGCAATCATGTAAAGAACACTATAGAGTCTAACCAGCTGAAGTGAGGAATGATTAGCCTGAGACTGGCCTCGGGTAGGTTACACTTGCCCACTGCTTTTTCTTGAAGTTAATCAGATCATAGTGAAGGGACTCTCTTTGGAAATATAAACAATGTGTAATTAGGACTAGGGTGAACATGCGATGTTCTGATTACAAAGTCAATGTAAAAACTGCCATGTTAAGCAAGGATAGAATTGACTCAAATCTGTGATGTATTAAAGGATTTTCTATACTATAGTTGTTGGTGTTATATGTTTGGGGAATGCAACTGTTAATTTATGGCTTGTTTTCTTTTAGCAAAAAGCAAACTTGAGTTTTCATTAGTAGCGATATTAGTGAGACCTTAATTATGAGATCAGCAACCACTCTTAAACCTAAAAGCTGACTAGCAGGGAGTGAAATTGACTAGGGAAGCCAGCATTTGACTACCCAAAAGCTGAAAAAGCTGATTAAATTCAGAAAACTATTAAGTAGTTGAAAAACTTCCTGAATTTGCATTCAGTTTAGAAATACTGAATAAATAATGATAAAGCATTTATTCAGTATTTTTTCCAGCTTGGGGAAGCCGAATGTACACCCCTAATGAGAGGCTGAAGCAAAGTACAGTCAGTAGGAAGCATACAGAATACTGCATTCTGCTACTCTGAACCATGCATGCCTAGCATTAGAGCTACTCTCACCCAGAATAAGTGGTTTGATAAAACCTAGTTACAATATTCCTTGCTCACAACAAAGAACAATTCTGTTCCCAAATATGTAAGAGAGTGATTTTTAGAGTTTTAAACTGCTAGTACTGGGCAAGCAGTAAGAAATGTGTACAAAGTAAGGACCTCTGAGCATCTCTTATGAACACTTTATTAAGTATACACGTGTGAGCATATACAAGTTTGTTTTCAAAGATCAACACTGTCCCTCACAGGAGTAGCAAATACCTTCTCCATGTACATTTCTACATCCCTTCCCGTTTTCCAGAAAGGAGAATCTAGCAAATGTGTCCATCTACTTTAGCCATTGCATTAGTCCAATTGGTTCTTAAAATGTGCATCACTTCCCAGCAAGGATTTCCATGCAGCGTGCACATGGTGTTTCTGGGGAATCAGCAGTGTACTTGCGACATCGGAGGCATTTTGACTTGGCAGCTGGTAGAACTATCACCTTATACGAGGACTCTTCTCGGATGTCACCACCTGTTGAGAGAATCCAATTAAGCATAATTTGCAGCAAAGAAAGCCCGAAGCGAAAGCTGTCACCACTTACACTTACCTTCCAAGTTAATCAAAAATGTCCCTTTTATGATGTTTTCCTCAGCAGCCACATCTCTAGGTACTTCTGTCAGCAGAGAGGTCTGTGATGCCATCATTATTTCATTGAGCTGGGATGTGCTGGAAGACTCCTCCTGTTGTAGCACCTGAGGAAGAATTAGAACGGATGAACTGTAAAATCTTCTGCAATGACAATGAGTCGGAGTCTGACAGTTCTGTTGCTAATGTCAAGTACATTCTGCTAATTTTTCTGTGGGGAGGGGGAGGGAACAGTGGCAGCATTCTGTGCTTATGGGAGAAAAGGGCAAGGAACACGGCTACTGAATGAACATTAGTATTAGCAAGTTCTAATCTAAGGGAAAAGTTCAGCCACACACTCACAGCAGTACTTTTAGTACATACATACATACATACATAAACCTATAAACCTTTATTGGCATAACACAGCAACAAGAGGGGCAGTGAAACAGTTAGAAAAATAAACAAATTAATAGGTCATGGCAAATTACACCAAACTGCCCCAACTTTTAGTAGGTTTTAGGCAAGTGTAGCAGCTACATAAAAGTTAAATGGTGGTACGCACAAACACACACCTGATATTCATGCATTATAAGAGAGTCTTTAGCTCTTAACTGACACGAAGAGGATGGTGGGAGTTCTTGTAGGCACTAACCTCCATACCAAAAACCTCATGTCACATAGACAGAAGGGAACATGGTCTAGACATGCTGTAGACCATCCATACATCTGTAGGGTTTTGCCTAAGGCAGAAGTGTTTTTATGTCACAAGTATGGGGGAGCCATTCATGAAACCATAGGGGACAACAGCAGGAGGCTACGTGGTAATGCCTTCCAAACTAGACTGGAAGGATAAAGCCCTGACAAGGTTTTTTTTCCCCTCCTGCTGACCAATGTATTGACTAGATTTCATATCTTAAGGGTGTGTTACAGTTTTAGTTCAACATCCAGTGCTGTAATGTACAGAGATGGGGGGAAGCATTACACAAACTACAAAGGCAAGTCTGGCAAACAGTCTGAACCATGAGCTAACTTTGGGAAACTCAGTGTGGCCTCGTGCTGGGAAGGGATGTTGTTCCCATGTCAAGGTGTTGCTTGGAACTGGCACAAGAGTCAGGAAAGGCTCTTTGCACCCCTGAGAACCTATGTGGACATGGTAAGGGGGCTGCAGTGAGGAGGGGAACTGGACAAAATCACCACTTACTTTCCCTCTTGTGCCAGTAGACGATCTAGTTGGGTTAGCTCTTTTCTTAATTTTTAGGAACAGTCAAGACATCAGCAGTAGCTGCAGTTCAGACTGCCCATGCTGATGATGATTTTCAGACTTACCTCCATTAATTCAAAGAGCAAGCCAGGCTCAATTACCAGGATCACCTCATGTTCCAAAGCATTTTTGCCTGCGATGGAACCAAGGAAGGCATCTCGCATTGCACAGGCTCCTTCCACTGCTTCCTCAAGACCTGGTTTTTTCCATACAGGACTTGTGTTCATCCATCCAGAACGAAACACACTATCTGACTCTTGCAAAGGAAGGGGGGGGAGAAGAGAGAGTTAACACCAAAAGCTCTATAACAGCTTTCAAACTCTTGCTGCAGCACACTATGGGAATTAAGATTTAACAATTACTTTAAAAAATCTACTTATTCTTAACAGACTGGCAAACTCCATTTTGTCAGTAGGCTAAGCACCACCCCCCTTTTTAGGATTAGCAATCTACCCATTTACTGATCTAAAAACGTGACACTTCCTTTTTCCTAGCAGAGGCTACTAATTTATAAATCCATAAATCTCAAGACAGTTTACATTGAAACAGATCACACAACTCTTGAGGGACTTCCTTTTTTCAGGTAGACCATTCCACTGGTGTGAAAACTGCCAGTACCATTCTTGCATAGGGAGGTATTTGATTGTTGGCTTTCTCCCCATCTAACTAGCTATTTAGTTCATTCCCTTACTGAATTAAGAGCTTTTAACCCACATCCAGGAAGCCTGCAGTCAGGATCTCTTTAGTTGTGGGGGGAAAGTAAGGTCGGTTCCGCCCTGACAGCTCTTAAGGACCCCTCAGATATGTCCTGCCAATGCCTTCCCGGTTGCTGCTTTGTTCTGAGGAAGCACATATGCCCAACTCCACTTTGAACAACGTTTCAAACAGGGAGGGTCTAAAATGTAAGTAAATTTTTGGGACCCTATCAGGTTAGACAGTTAACTTTTGTACATGTATTTATATAATCTTTTTCTATTTTCAGAAGGGTTTTAGCTTTTTACTTTTAAGTCTGTGTGCTTGGGATGTCTCACACTCCATCTACCCACATTTTATTTTTATTTATTTATTTATTTTTACACTTATATCATGCCCTCCCCAGTGGGCTAAGGGCGGCTAACAGAGGCCAGATCATTAGTCTAGCCATAAATAAAAACATATAAAAACATCAAAACTAAGACTAAAGTGCTCTATCCAAAACACATCATGTTTTGGTCACACGTACTAGGTTGTTCTCCAGATAACTGTGAGGCTCTTTATAATAAGCAAATGAAGAGGTACAATCAGTGGCTAAATGACTGCTAAGGTGATGGTCCAAAAAGTACTCTGCACATGCTCAGCAGCATGGGTCTTCACAGCCAGGATGCCTAGTACTTACCACATTTGGATTAGAAATTGTAGCATATGTCCAGTCAGTTTTATCTTCCCTTCCCCAAATGCAGCAGAGTTTTGGGAGAGCGATCACTTCATGGGCTTCAGAAACTAAATTTTATTTCATGATTACACAAGCTTCTCACCTTTCCTATAGGGAAGGTACTGGAATACCTCCTCAGCCAAATGTGGAAGGATTGGGGCAAATGAACGAACCAGTGTGTCGAAGACCTCTGCTAAGGCTGTTTGACAGGAACGACGTTTAAGATCTTTTTCTTCTTCACAATAAAGTCTGAAATAAAATGGAGACATGTGACACTTGCCAGTTTCTGGATGCAATTTTAAAGAAGGACCACAACATATTTACGTTTATCCAGCCGTCACAAGGCTAAGTGTTCAAACTTCTAATTTAGCAATAGACTTTCCCCTTAGGGGGGAAAACCTCTATCCAACCTCTTTAAGAAAAGTGGGCTTGACTAAAAATGTGAGCTGTACATATTAAAATAAATAAAGCTATCAGGGAGAAGGTAATGCTGGAACAATTAGGGAACTTACTGTAAACCAATAATGATGACAGCCCAGTATGCCTATTGGGTTTCCATACTTTGAAAAAAGCAGAATTCCTTGCATGGACTAGAATGGAAGGCACTCTTTACTGTAACCAGAAGATGAGAAAGACAAGTTTCCTTAACACAGTAATACCAGGGAGTGTTACTTATACCAACCTGTCTTTAACTATACTGAAGTAAAAACTGGAGAGCTCTCTTGAATGGAAGGCCTGCAGTAATCGAATGACTTTGCCATAGTCATATTCCTTATATGCATTCGTAACCTGAGGGATGAAATGCAAAGAATACACAGCTGTAAAAAGATAGAGGAAGGGAGACATCTGAAATCACACCAGATCTGGAGATAACTATTCTTCTAAAAATGTCCATTAATCAAGTGTGCCATACTGCAACCCACAGACTTGTATAGTTATGACGGGTACCGTCAACATGAAATCTTGGCAAGAGCAAAAAAATGCAGCAGGTCAGAAAAGTCTGCACTGCCCTGGATCATGAATTCCTTTCCAGTTCAAGCCATGAAGCTCCAAGGTTCGGTCACAGGTATCTCCAGTTAGAAAAAAGGGTCAGGTAGTAGGTGAGGAGAAAGACCTCTACTTGAGATCCTGGACAGCCACAAGCAGTGTTCCCTCTAAGCTGAGTTGGTGTGAGCTAGCTCACAGTTTGTTAGCCTCTGGTGCACACATTTTTGTCTCAGGAAG